TATCTTCAGCCATCGTCACCCCGAGCTTCACATGTAGGGAAATCCAAGAGATTCAACTGGCAGAAACGTCTCTCTCTCTCTCCCTCTCTCTCTCTCTCCCTCTCTCTCTCTCCCTCTCTCCCTCTCCCTCTCCCTCTCCCTCTCTCCTCTCTCCCTCTCTCTCACTCACTCACTCACTCACACACACACACACACACGTAGAGGAAAAGAGCTGAGAAAAGGCAGAGGAAACGGAGGACACCAGGTAGTTAAAAGAAAATCCACAGCGGAGCCGAGGCGCACCTCGAATGGGGCGCGTCTGATCTGAACTGAGGAGCGGCTGGACTTCGTGAGCGATTCGCTTCGGCCGCTTCCGCGGCCGGTGTGTCCCCGGCAAAATGCCGGCTTTCAGCCACTCCCCCTGCTGCTTCCGTCTGCTCTCGTCTGTTTTCCAGGCGAGCCGCTGCTCAACTCCAACACGGCCATTCTCCGCGCCTCCCGTCTTTAAACCGCCAAGAATCATTTCACCTACGCACACGCTTCTCTGCTTCATACCGTTTCGAACTGTCTCGCTTCTCCTCACCAGTTTTAAAGCGTTTTGCCGGAGATTTCATCAAGAAATCCCATCCCTGTGGTGGCGCGATCTTCCTGTGTACTTGTGTGTTTCTAGCGTGGTTCCACTTCGTCTTTAATAGTGAACTTATAGTTCACGTGACTATAACTAATCGTGCAGTACGTGCACGAATCGTACAAGTGCAGTAGGTGGCTAGAGGCGCGCAGGTTCACGCGCGCGAAACGAAAACGGCAGCTTCCTACAGGGCGGGGCCATGATGTAGGTGAAAGCCGGTGTGTAAATGACAAATAAGGCTTGGGCGCCACCCGGGCGGTAGGTCGTCAAGTATTTACCGCCCGACGAGAAAATTTAGCGCCATTGGCGCTCGGGCGCTTTAAAGGTCCACCCCTGTTTAGTCACGTGAACTATAAGTTCATTATTAAAGACGAAGTGGAACCACGCTAGAAACACACAAGCACGCAGGAAGATCGCGCCACCACAGGGATGGGATTTCTTGATGAAATATCCGGCAAAACGCTTTAAAACTGGTGAGGAGAAGCGAGACAGTTCGAAACGGTATGGAGCAGAGAAGCGTGTGTGTAGGTGCAATGATTCTTGGCGGTTTAAAGAAGACGGGAGACGCAGAGAATGGCCGTGTTCGAGTTGAGCTGCGCCTCGCCTGGAAAGCAGACGAGAGCAGACGGAAGCAGCAGGGGGAGTGGCTGAAAGCCGGTGTTTCACCGGGGACACACCGGCCGCGGAAGCGCCGAGAAGCGAATCGCTCACGAAATTCGGCCGCTGCTCAGTTCGGATCAGGCGCGCCTCGGCTCAGCTGTAGTTTTTCCTCCATTTCCTCTGCCTTTTCTCAGCTCTTTTCCTCTCTCTCTCTCTCTGTGTGTGTGTGTGTGTGTGTGTGTGTGTGTGTGAGAGAGTGAGAGTGAGAGTGAGAGAGAGAGAGAGAGAGAGAGAGAGAGAGAGAGAGAGAGAGAGAGAGAGAGAGAGAGAGAGAGAACCTATGGTGTGAACCAGTTGTTTCTGCCAGTTGAATCTCTTGGATGTGTAGCTCGGGGGTGACGATGGCTTAAGATATCGCGTTAGCATTCACACTTGTTCAATTTTAATTCTGGTGCCTGTTTTCAGCAGCTGAAACACATCCTCACGTGCTTGTGGATATCATATATTGTATATGGAGACATGACTGTAATAATAAGTAAAGGTTAGCAGCTGTAGCTTCAGTGTGCTCATAGGAAACGTGACAAAAGAAAACAAAACACATTTCTCTTTATGGCCTATATAGTTGTTATCATCAACATAACATGATTTACAGAAAACATGTGAACAACTAACATTTCATGTTATACCACCGGATGTTTGGATCAAAATATGAACCAATCAGATCTTAGATCAGGTGAGAGCCAGGCGTTTCCCGTCATCATCTAGGTTTTGCAGCCGGTGGAGAGCAACTGCAGCGCCTTGCTCCAAAATCTGCGGCCGCCTTGATGTCACGAGGTTATCGTTGCCTACGTATGTATGACGTCAGAGCAAGTCGGCGTCAATTCGGACACAAATCTAACCGCATGCACTGCTCGCCGATCACCGCTGGTCTAATCTGCGCAGAACTGGCTCATCTCGAACACAGTCAATGGCTCAAGTACAGCAAAGTGGAGTTGGTGATGTACTGCGTTGTATGCCGGAAGTATGCGACGACAAAATCGAGTTTTGTTGAGGGAACAAACAAATTCAAACTTGAATACGTTATTATGTTTGTGAATGTGTACAAAATAAAGGTTTATTACATTTAAAACTGTTCAGTTGTTATTTTGACTCGTTTTGGCAGCTGACCAGCGGGGCCGGTAGATTCTTGGCGGGGCCGGTAAATATTCAGAGTTACCGGCCCGGCTGGCCGGTTGGTTTTGAAGTTAATGTCCACCCCTGCAAGCGGATGAAAAGTCCCCACCATCCTGTTTATTCTGCATCCTGCAGCACTACGGATCAGAACCGCTGCAGATACGGGTCACATTACAGCTACAAGTATACGGCAAGCCGTTGTGGTATATAATTCACAAACGCGTCTATCTTTGAACATAATTTGAACTGGATTATTGCTAACCCGTACATAATAGACATGCCACCATTACATTGTTAGCAGCAGAAATTAAATGTTATTACCATTTCCAACACAAGTGCATGTTAATGAAATGCATTATATTTTACTGCATATATTTATGTGTTATTATGACTAAGATGAGTGTTATTAATACAAACCTAAAATGTTACTGAAATGTAGATCAAATATATAAAAATATTTTAACTATAAATATCAGATGGGAAAAAGGAACTAAACACCAATCTGATGCATATTATTGAGCCTTTCATAATAAGAGTCTGTTATTTCAGCCTGATCATTTTGTTGTTTTATTTCATATTTTTTAGCAGCAAACCAGTTTTGTTTCACTTGAAACGTTGTCAAATGGAATATTCTATTAATCGCCAGAAGCTTAGATTAGAACACTTAACGAAAACATATTTGGCCTTTAAAAAAGTGAGGCAGTTGAATGCACAGAGTACGCATGTGCTGGCGCACGGTCAGGATGGTACCACCTCTGCCTCAGTCTGAGCCAGGAAAAACCCTGATATAGAGCAAAGATTTTAAACAGATTCACGATCCAACAAGTTAAAAAGTTCAGATAATGAGACCCTTGGTTTCAAACAACATAATGTAAACTAGGAAAATATGTCATTAATTAAGGTAACGTTATTTCATAAACAGTTGTCAGGGTTTCCCTTACATAGGCGTAGCCGTGGCGGCCCGCCACGGCTGAAATCCCACCGCCACGCCTACAAGATCCCAAGTTTTATTTATTTATTTTTTTAGCTGTTTCACGAGGAAGCAGCAGGAACTACTATGTTGTCGCTTGTGATCACAGCCGGCAGGCAGCAAGGAGGAGCAGGCAGGGCAGGGTGAAGTTACAGCATAAAGGTAGCAGTGGATATAATGCTTTTTGGTTTACATGTTTCAATAGCATTAAGATAAATGAGTGTTGACGATCTTGACAGGGTTTCCTCTCCCCACCAGGATAAGCATCACTTATTCATGTAAAATTTATTTATTTTTTCATGTCTGACTTTAACCGCTTCTAATACTGTATTACGACGTGAGCGCAACAGCGACAACTTAAGATCGATGTGTGAGCAGCCTGAGAGGTCGGGTGTTTCATCTGAACCCTTAAAACCTCCAGCAGGCTACGCTGCACTATTGACGTGTTAGCGCGCAACGCTAACAACTTAGCGACGTGACATATCTCGGAGAAAGCGTAAAAACACGTTGGACGCTTCTTCTGAAGCGGGAAAATAACACCTCTTCTTAAGCAGAGCACGACGTCGCCTCGACTGAGCTCGATAACATTGACCCAGCACAGCCACTGGGTCGTTGGAGCTGCCCCGTGACTGCCTGATGGAAAACCAGCGGGTTTCATCAGGCTCGTAAAGTTTCTTGTTTTTGCTGGGGACCCCCTGTATTTTACCGCTCCCTCCTGCAGTCTTCCCCTATTAACATTTAAAATGATTCTGTAAATTTCGTGTATCAATAGAAAAAATCTCTGCCTCTGCCAGCTGCAGTAAATGTAGTCTCCAAATAATAAATAAGAGGTGCATTCATCTGTGTATCTCCTTTGATCCGCATTAGTGATGTTCTCAGCACCAGAACAGTGAAGCAAAGAAACAGATTCCTGAGTTTGTTATAATTTTATTTATTAGGTGCATCTAACCTGTTCTATTTTTCTCTGAAATGAGATCAAATCAGTGCTTCTATGGGTTGTCTCCACTCTGCACTAGAAAATTTTACTTTATTTAGAGACGTGTCATAATTTCAGAGTGCTCTTAAAGCTGCAGCTTGACTTCCTCTCATGTTTCCATAAGACCACCACCCACTCGACTAGGACATTAAATTCACTGAGCTGCATGCTGACTTAGCGACTGCTCTCTGGAGTCACATGTGGAGGCTGTAGTAAGCATTTTGTTTTTGTCTTTAGCGCTGCAGACCATTTATTGCAGCACGGATATACTGAATAGTTTCACAACTTTTAAATCAAAAAGATAATCAGTCCATCGCCATTCTCCTTCCCGGCACCTCCGTTCTGCTGACTCCAACCTCCTTTCCCCTTTCAGAACAAAACATGGCACCATGGGGGATCGAGCCTTTGCAGCCGCTGCCTCCACACTTTGGAACTCTCTCCCACTAAACATCAGGAACGCCGTCTCTCTTTCTACTTTTAAGTCACTGCTTAAAACCCACTTCTTTAAATTGGCCTTCTCTTAAGATCAACCCAGCATCCCCCAGTCTGTTTACTATGTTTCATGTTGTTTTATTATGTGTTTATTGCATTTTTTGTGAAGCCTGACTGACCTAAAAAGTGCTAGACAAGTTTAATGTATTATTATTATTATTATTATTATTATTATCACTTACATCCGCAGAAGGCAAAGTGTGTCCCCACTCCCTGTTCAGCCATTTTCCTGCACCAGATCTGGCGTTTACAGATGTTTCACACCTGTGTGAATAACACAGCTGTCTAAGAGAAAAACCACTTCTCCAACTCATTTACTTATTTACATATCTGAAAGGTGGCAGCCCTACCTGTGTCCATGCTGTCCAGGTCCAGGTGGTGAAGAACACACGATGAATCAGTCCCAGCTGATGGATGATCCTGAAGTGGTAGCAGGTTTTCTTTAGCCGTGTTTAGCTAACAGCTGCAATAGAAACAAAGCAGGAGAGCTGATTAAGATGCTGCTTCAGAACAACGCAGGAGATTAAAGATCCAACGCTTTGGTTCTGATCAGCTGAGGACAGATCCAGTCTGGAAAATAAGACCTTTGGTCACCAGAGTTCACAGACTTCTCTTCTATTCTTCCAGTATCCGCCCTGAATCGGCTGCAGGTCGTCCAGAACGCTGCTGCCAGGTTCTTGACGAGTACACACCGACGTAGCCATATTACCCCTGTCCTGTTACATCTTCACTGGCTCCCTGTCATTTTCAGAGTGCAGTTTAATTTACTGACCTTTGTGTTTAAAGCTCTAAATGACCTGGCACCTCCCTATCTCTCTGACCTGCTCACTCCATATGTGCCCACGCGCACGTTGAGGTCGGCTGACCTTTTGCTGCTGTGCACGCCGCGGATGCGATTCAAATCGCGGGGTGAACGAGCATTTGTCCATGCTGCCCCAAAGCTATGGAACTCATTGGCCATTGGAGTTGGGCAGGCTCCATCTCTGGCGGTTTTTAAATCTCGTTTAAAGACCCACTTTTACGCTTTGGCTTTTAGACAGTGACTCGTTTTAGTGTTTTATTGTATCATTGTTTTAATGTGTTCTTAGTATTCATCATGCCTCCATCTAAATAGGATAGATTATCCAGAGTTTTCTCTGTAGTTATGCTGCTATAGGCTTAGACTGCTGGAGGATACACTGACCACTTTCCACACTCTACTACTTTCTTCTACTATCTGCTCTTTAACTGCATTACTTTCTGCAATTTCAGCTGTTAACTTTATTTTCTCTCTAACCCCGGCTTTCCACAGGAGCCGTCAGCAGCGCGAGTCGGCCGCGTCTCAGGAGCAGCATGTCGCGGCCTTTACGCGCCGGTTCTATTTTCTACACGTGACGCCTCTGAAACGGGTCAAGTTCGACATTTTTGGGGAAGGAAAGACAGGAAATAGGACGCGGAAATGGAGAGAAGCTCCCAAGATTTTCAGAATAAAGAACGTACTGCCTTCCGGTTGCTTTACTTTTAAAAAAGGTTACTAACTGTGCGGCCCCGTGAGAAGTTATCGCCTAGCTAGCGGTCTCCTTTGTTTTTCAGGTCCGTATTGGCGATTATAAAACGGACAGAACATAAAACACAAACCATGTTGTAGTTTTCTCCTGCTTGTTGTTGTGTTTACTGACGAAGTCACTCGTGTGAAGGGCCAAGCAGCAGCTTACGCGAGCAAGACGTGCTGCTGCAGTAACGTGCTGCTGACGGCTCCCGTGGAAACCCGGGGTAAGTGTTTTTCTCCCCAGAAGCTACAATGACGTTCTGCTGAGCTGTGGTGGCCTCATGGAGGGGGCCATCGTCTAGCACACTGCTGCTAACCACTTAAACATTCTCCCTCTCCTGACAATAACTTTTTGCTTTCCTTGACGTTGGACGTGTTACTGCTAGTTTATCCGTTTAATTATAGATCCACTAGGATAAATACAATAAAGTTGATCTCACCAAATAGAATATTTACTAAGACATCACAATATAACTATAGACGTGTGTGTGTGTGTGTGTGTGTGTGTGTGTGTGTGTGTGTGTGTGTGTGTGTGTGTGTGTGTGTGCGCTCTGTCTTCTCGATCCCCAGTGAGTCGTGGAGGATGGCTGCTTATACTGAGCCAGGATTCTCTGGAGGTTTCTTCCTGTTAAAAGGGAGTTTTCCTATCCACTGTCGCTGCATGCTTGCTTAGTATGAGGATTGCTGTAAAGTCACTGACACTAGTCAGTGACTTTACAGCTATTTGCTGGGTTCCTTATATAGGAAACATTATTTCTGATTGGCTTAATGAACTGTGAATTGGAATGTTTATTATGTGAAGTGCCTTGAGACGACTCTTGTTGTGATTTGGCGCTTTATAAATAAACTTGAATTTTATCTGCTTTTGATTGGGATTTTTATCCTCTGTTTTAGTTCTTTCGAATGGTTGTGTTTTGTTTTAGCCTGTGCAGCACTTTGGGCAGCTCCCATGCTGCGTTTTAAATGTGCTATATAAATAAACTATGCTATGCCTTTTTACGGGGACGGTGAGGGACAGCCAGCTGTTCGACAGAGTGTTGAAAACTGAGCGGGGCATCAAGCGGGACAAAAAGCAGGTCACATCAAAGCTAAAGGTTCTGAAAAAGAAATTTCATCAGTCTGACGTGTCTTCCATCTGACGCTGATCGCGCGACCCTGTACGTCACATGCGGGGGGCGCCCAGCGACCTCCCTAGATCCCGTCTTGGTTTGAGAGGTGCCTGATGACAGTTTATTCTAGCTTCAGCTTTGCTACTATAAATGCCAAAATCCTCCCCAGGGAGCCGCGGCAAATCCCGCTCTGGAAACGCTCTGGTCCTGTAACAACAGCTAGTCATTCATCCACCAGTACCTGTGTCCATGCTGTCCAGGTCCAGGTGGTGAAGAACACACGATGAATCAGTCCCAGCTGATGGATGATCCTGAAGTGGTAGCAGGTTTTCTTTAGCCGTGTTTAGCTAACAGCTGCAATAGAAACAAAGCAGGAGAGCTGATTAAGATGCTGCTTCAGAACAACGCAGGAGATTAAAGATCCAACGCTTTGGTTCTGATCAGCTGAGGACAGATCCAGTCTGGAAAAGAGGACCTTTGCTCACCAGAGTTCTCTTCTGTTCTTCCAGCTACAGACTAAATAGAAGATGGATGCTCTACAAAAATACTAACAACGGTTTCTCCTGTTTAGTTCTGTCTGGTGGCTCACTAAAAGCCAAATCCAGCATGGCAGCATCTCATGGAGCCAACAAGGAAAGCAAGGTGTGATATCAGCAGAGGGCTGGAAGCTGAAAAGGTAAAGAACAACACAACCTGAGGGTTCCTCGTCTCCAGCTGAGCCAAGAGCACTAAAGGGTTTCGTTTAGAGTTTACATGAAGAAGTAGTGAGTTTATTTATTTATTTATTCTTTATTTAACCAGGAAGGTCCCATTGAGATCACAAACCTTACTTTCAAGGGAGTCCTGGCCAAGAGGCAGCTCCACGGACGTGTAATGCACATGAAAACACAGGAATCCCAGCTAAATGAACTTTAGGTGTGTTTTAGCAGAATGCTATTGTGTTTTCAGTATTATTATTGATTACTAAGTCATTATATTATACATTTACTCAGTAGAATGTGTCTTTCTAAAGTTGTATTTATTTTTATTTACATGTAAATATGCATCCCTGAAAAACATCTGCTTAACGAATGCTCTGAAACATCAGCTGGCATTTCTTTTTAGCCTGTTTTGTCTATTTAATACTTGCTACTTGGTTCATTTTCATGCTGAATGCTGTTGAGTAAACTTCTGTCTGTAGCAAGGAGCTGCTGTTGTGTGTGTGTGTGCGTGCGCCTGTTCTATGGATCTCTTTATTAAAACTATTTAACGGTAATAAAATAGTTTGTTGATTTTAAACAGGGAAAACCCCACTCGCGATTTAGCGATAGCATGACGCTAACTCCATTAGGCCGCTAGCGTGCTTTCCCTCACAAAGAAACGGTGTCCACTCACCAAGTGAACTGCTCCACTCACTAAAGACGGTAAATGTTCCAGATCCAACTACGTTACTGACTGTACTACCGACTACTGACTACCAAAACTCACCAAGTCCACCGAGTTATCTCAGAACAGCACAGCTTCTAGGTCGTGTCTCGGCAACTACAGTTGGCTAATGGCTACAGCTTATTTGTAGCACGGGGCGGGGAGTGGGCACAACATTACCATATATGGAAACGGGGCCATTGCTTTCCGGAACTGAAGGGGGCGCTAATGTCGAGCTACCGTTTTGGAAAAATCTTTATTCAAACTGTTCATAAAACAATATATAATTCTAGGTAAACTATCGTAATTTCTATATTTCTGATTCATAAATATTTACTGTTTATTACAATATTTTTGTACATCGTTGTACTAAACATGACACAGTCAACAATCATTTAAACTATAATTTTCAATAATCTTCATCAAAGAATGACTGATTCTTCACACTTTTCACATCACTTTAATTTTTTTTAAATTAGTGTGGTATTTTTTAAACGCCAATGTCATTCGAAATCTCATGAGGATGATTTTTACAAATGGCCTAGTTTCATACTATTTGTAGGAAACTGTAACCATTTGAGTTTGATGAGACTATTCATAGTATTTAAAACTGATATTTAAACCTAATTCCTCCAAAGATGTAACATCAGCTCTCCTAAGTGTCACATGTGTCTCCAAATGAAATGAGTTGTCCTGATTTAATTTTTTTGTTATGTTATCATGTAACCTAATGAAAAAATTGGGTAAATGTGTGGAGAAAACTTTCCATTTTAGCAAAAAGAATAACTTCCAAAAGGATGGCTCTGTTGAACAGCTGCTGAGAACGACTTTTATGGATTTTTGTTTCATATCAATATAATTTCTAAAAACATGTGAAACTCCAAAAATTAGAATGTTGCACATTAATTTATTTTAGTAAAAGCAAAACCAATTGCAAAGTACTTATGTCTGACAATTTTCTATTTAAAAGCAGTGTTGGATTTTTTTAATGTAATATTCTAATTGTCTGAATTTTTGAATGCAGGGTTTTCATCATCTGTAAGCCATAATTATTACAATTATAACAAATAAAGGCTGAAATATCTGGCTTTGTATGGAATGAGTCTTATTACTGAAATAAATCAACTTTTTCACTATATTCTCATGTTTTGAGTTTTACCTGTAATTTGATTTTTTATTAAGTTCATTTGAGTCATTTTTATATAAACTGCAACCAATTTTTCAAGAAACTTTATTCTCAAACAGAGGAACAACAGGATATTGTTTCAAAAAAATCTAAACAGCAGCAGTTCTTTTCAACATTACAAAAAAACACATGTGAGTGCACTTGCTGCAGAAATGTTTCACTGGACTATTTGGCAATGTTTGAACATTTGAACATGCTCAATGCTGACAGCCAGGGCAGTGTCCAGGTATCCCACCAGAGTAATAGCGAGGGTACTTTCCTCTTCGTCCTTTTCCCGTGAAGCCCACACAGTCTTTGTATAGACCGTGCTCAGACTTGAAGGTTGCAGAAAACCTGCTCCAGTGAATCTCACCTATTAACAAAATGATAATTAAATTAAGCCAATTAATTAACATCATTGGTCATTTATTACATCCAGCCAGGCAAAGTGGGCCTTCTTCCTAAAAACAGGATCTGAAACAATGGTGATGAAGTGTTTGCAGGTCAGTGCCGATGACAGGTAAATGGTAAATGGCCTGTATTTGATATAGCGCCTTCTAGAGTCCTGGAACCCCCCAAGGCGCTTTACAACACAATCAGTCATTCACCCATTCACACACACATTCACACACTGGTGGGGATGAGCTACAATGTAGCCACAGCTGCCCTGGGGCGCACTGACAGAGGCGAGGCTGCACCAGCAGGCAACGTGGGTTAAGTGTCTTGTCCAAGGACACAACGACAGCGACAGACTGAGCGGGGCTCGAACCTGCAACCTTCCGATCACGGGGCGAGCACTTAACTCCTGTGCCACCGTCGCCCGTAAGCTGCATCTCCTTCTGTTAGGATCACCTCCAGGAGCACAGCTTCAAGCACAAGTCTATGAAAACAACACACATGTGCACCGTGAGACTGTCATAAAATTACAAGACAACATGAATGTTTATTTATTGATTTTTGTCATTTAAAAGGAAAAGAAAGAACACAGTAATACAGAATCTCAATTATAGTAACCAAACAGGTGTAGGCTGAAGCCTAGCTTTTTATGCCTACCCTATTTACTCAATCACATTACTTCTCAAAAAAAAAAAAAAAGAAATGACAATAATAAGATAAAAGTAATGTAATAATAAAAATGAGAGTGAGATAAAAATAATAATTATCAATTAATCAATCAAATATACTTTACAGGGGTGGTTCTAGACCAAATTTTCCAGGGGGGCCACAGTGGGGCCAGTATTTTTTCATGGGGGCGCAAGAAAAAAAAAATCATAATAAAAGACAATGAACAAGTAAACTATTACGGCGAATGCAGTAATGGTTTACTTGTGAAAGTAAAACCGGCATGTTTTATGGTACTCAGATAACAATTCTGAATGCTTCACCGCAACATGAGACTTGAGTAAAAAGACAATTCTAGTCAATTATTATAGTTTGTGACTTTATTTGAAGATTATATGAAATGTACATATGAAAAATAAACATTCAAATAAAATATCTGCACAATACAATTTGCTTTTTGTAGTCCACACACACACACACACACACACACGCACACGCACACACACACACACACACACACACACACACACTTCTTTTGTGTAAGTTTGTGCTGATTTAGTTTTACAGCATGAATCATCATCAAGATGTGACACAGAAATTGGTCACACAGTAATCTGTCCCATTACAATAACAGTATTCTATGTTTGTGCTGTCTTGCAAAACGGTCTACAAATGCTTCAAGGTTCAGAGCCTTGGCCCATCTGGATTCAATGCTTAGCACCCCTAGATTGCTAAGGCGCTCATCTGTAGTGGTAGACCGGAGGTAGGTTTTTACTAATTTTAATGTTGAAAAACTCCGCTCACAAGAGGCAGAACTTACTGGGAGTGCAACTGCGATTTTGCACAGTCTAAAGAACTCGTAAAATACCTCTTTGTATGGCTCTGTGAAACGGATCAACTCCACTGTATCAGAAAGCTTTTCAACCACACCAGTCTTTATTTTTCTATCCAAAAGTCTCTTGAACTGATGCAGTTCATGCCCCAGATCCTCAATATTAGCATCAAAAAGATGACCAAACTCAAACAAAGTGGTGTCTTTCCAAAAAGCATCACTTTTAGGGTTAAGAGATCGAATACTGCTCAGCTCACAACTGGTCTTTGAAAAACGTCTGCTCAGTTCACTTAGCATGCAGTCAATGACAGGATAAAAAAGAAGACCGATAAGTTTCTTTGTCAGAGGCCAGCTCCCTCTGACCAACTGAGCTTAGTATGTGGTACTCACGAAGTCTGGAGCTTGTCTTTATCTGTCGTTTTGCTTCCGACTGTGTGGCAGCATCACACTGTTCACAAATGTTCAGTACTTCCCCCCACAACTTGTCAAAAAAGGACTCCTGCCTGAAATCTGTTAAAGTCTGCACCAATCCTTCAACTAAATCGGCTGCTTTTGAGAGGTCAACAGTTGAGGACCGCAGCATATCTGAAAGAAGCTTTGTTTCTCCGAACAATGTACGGAGCGTAACAAGATGCACAACAAATTCTAGGTCAATCTGTGCCAGAAGATCTCGAGCCTCAGAAGATTTTCCTCCCCTGCGCTCTTGTGCAGTCTCTTGCAGGACACGTTTTAGGGCAGGTAATCTGTCCATGATGTTGCGTAGAGCAATGAATCGGCAAGCCCATCTTGTGTCACTTAATTTTTGTAGCTCTCTTGTGCTGCCATACATCTCATTTTGCACAGCCAGCCATTTGGGGTGTACCTATGAGCCAGAAGTAAAAACATAGAGACTCTGTAACAGAGCAAAACATTCCTCTTGCTTCTGGGACTGCTTTGATAGAATCAACTCATACTAAATTGAGACAGTGGGCACTGCAATGGATGTAAAATGCAAATGGAGCTGTCTCTTTAATTTTAGCCTGGACCCCAGAATGCTTACCACTCATTACAGCAGCACCGTCATATGCTTGGCCTATAAGGTTGTTTTTGTAGTCTAACCCATGGCGTTCCAATAGGTTGACTATTACTATCTTTTCAGTAAGGCCCACTGCATCTAGTCTTTCTGCAGATTCAAAATGGAGAAAACTTTCCTTGATAGCTCCATCATAATAGTACCTGAGTATGAATGATATCTGCTCCTGTTTTGAAACATCTTTAGTCTCATCTGCCATGATGCTGAAATACTGACTGCTTTTCACTTCTTCAATGATTTCAGAGCGTACCATTTCTGCCAAACAATCAAGAACCTCATTTTGAATGATCTTGCTTGTGTATTTTGCGTTGTGAATGGATGTGAGTCTACGTTTAACAGCTGGATCATGATTTGCAACCATTTCAAGAATTTCCCTGAAGTTGCCTTTGTTATTTGATTCCTCAGACTCATTGTGTCCTCTCTGGGCTATGTTTTGCCGGGCTGTAAGCAAAATCACTTCACCAATTGTTCTGATATACTCACGATTTTCTTTAACCTTTTTACTGAGTTCCTTGTCGAGTACATTAGCCAATGTTGTATTAGCTTTCACAGCCCTCTGGTAGTCCCTCCACGCTATCATTGAATCCTTATGCCTTTCAGACTTTGCACGTACTGAAACCCCTCCTCCTCTCTCAGTTGCTTTTTTCCAGTTCCCAAATCCACACTGAGAGTCAAACACACTTCCTGCGCTACTTGGTGAGCTAAAATGTCTGCATGCATGACAATAAGTAGAGTCCATAGTAACAGAATATTCAACCCAAGGATGACTTTCATACCAGCTTGGCTGAAAGCTGCGTCTTCTGTCTCCTATTAATGTCACTGGAAATGTCCTCAAATGATGCTGAGTAGGTGGGTCATCCTTGCACTTGCTGATATCTGAAAGAAAATAAATGTTAGCATGAGGATAAAAGTCATAATTAGTTAATTCAGAGTCTTATTTTATCTATTTATTAAATATAAACAACAGAAATTTTGGTCCAGAGTCAGCATGCCTCAAATGCATTTTACACACAATCTGAGCTGCAATCACAGATTCAACACCCACAAACCTGACGGTAGTGTACACGGTGCACATGACAGAAGATGTCCCTCTTTTTGCTCCTCACTCTCTCCCTCACAGCCTACATCTTCCTCCTCCTCACTCTCAGGGTGGACAGCCTCTGACCTCTCTGGTTCCTCTCCAACCAACTCCTCCTTCTCTTTCATCCTGCTTCTCAGCTCCCTCGTGACTTTCATCCTCTCTCTGTCTACGCTGTTCTTTATTAACAGCGGTAAAAAAGGACAAAATGTCCCTTTTTCTTTTCATGGCCGCTGATGCTTCCAGTCAGTGCTGCGAGAAAGTCATAGATAAATGAATACTGTGATCTAATCTCAACGTGTCTAAGGCTTAAAATGCAGCAACTTCATTTTTATTTTACAGTTAATGTTACAAAGGAACAACAAGTCAGTGTTAACTGTGGATAGACTCAGTTAGGAACTTAAAAGTAAATGACAGAAACGCGCGACTACGATCAAAACACTGATGTCAGGAAAATAAACTGTATTGCTTACCTTCGTCTCTTAGCGTCTTTTCCGTTTGGCGTCCTCAAGAACTTCTTCGGGTCCCATTTAAACTATTTTTAATCTTTTATTCAAAAATCCACCGGGTAAACAGTTCTGTCCACACAGTGTGCTGCGCTCTAAAGGCTCCGTGTGAAACGCTGCAGCGCATTAGTTCCCGTCTCCGAGGCGGCGCGGGGGAAAAAAAAATCCGATCTCTTCAGCACAGGGGCCAGGGCCGGATCTACAGGGGCCCAGGCCCCTGTGGGCCCCAGTTTAAAACCGCCACATTAATCCCAGAGGGAAATTAGAGTTTCAGTACACACAATTCAGAGATCAGACATACATGGGCAAGACACATGACAAGAATTGGTGAGTGTGGTCATTCGCAACCCTGAGTTGCTCTACCTTAATAGAGATAAGAGGGTTACATGAGGATTGGTTCAGGTGGAGGGGACAAAAAGGCACTTCAGAGTTACCCTCCCACCAGGAGGGCAGCTTTGCTCTGCAAAAAAACACCTCAGACAGATCTGCAACAGACTTCAGACAACACAACATAAGTGTCCACTAGGTGGGGTGGTGGGTTGGGACTATCCCAACTTCAGTTCCTGCAGCCACGAAGCAGCGCATGTCACCTCAGTGTGGATGGGGGAGGAGCATTGAGGGTAACATTTTTAAAATACATTTATTAACAATAAAGAGGAAGATAAAAGCTGAACTGTGTGTTCAACAGAACACAACAACTGAATATGGAACACATGCAAATTTCCCAGTGATTACAATAAAACCTTAAGGTTTGGATGTGGTTTGCATGAGTGAAGCCTGAGCCGTTGATGGACTCAAGGAAGAAAATCTCCCTGTTCATAGGCTTCAGAATCTGTAAAAATGCATCATTAGAAAGGTGAGACCCACGACAAAGCAAAGACATGCTAAATAAAGTCTAGCTGCCAATTGACAATTAAAAAAGCGTGATGCTGGAAGGCTGAAGATTATCCCGGAGTGGAGCGTGCTAAATGGTTTCCTTGGTAAGTGTTGCTGGTTTTATTAATTTTTATTTTTAAATATTTTTATTAATGTTCAAATAACAAAACTAACAATAAGTTCACACTCAGAAAATTGACACAGAATTTCTGATTCAGCAGAGGCAACAACAGCCTGAATGAGCATAAAGCAAGATCAAAACTTAAGATAACGTTTTCATTTTATTAAAATACTTTCTTTTAAGATTATAGATTGTATAAAATTTATACTGTAATCATTTAAGCTGCGTGTTTATAGTTTGTTTTTGCGCCTTTAAAACATGCTTCAGTCCATTCAAATGAATCTATTTCTTCTTGAATGTCTTTCCACCATCATGTGATTAATTTGTCAACATTCATAAATGTAAGCTATTGTATTTAGCAGAAAATCTTTTTAATTAAATGTGTTGATTAAATGTAAACAGAGCAAATAAGATGAATATATTTGCTCTGTTTATAGAGTATAATGACACCTAGTGGTTATTTACTGGTACCGCCTTGACATTGACACTCCCAATGGATAAGATGAGGATAATTTATTAGCATTTAATACAGCTGTGTAATGACGTATAATTAATATCATAAAATTGTCTGATAGAATGTTTTACATACAAACAACCAATTTGTAACCAAAGACTAGGCTACGTAAAATGTGAATGAACTTTTATAAGTAACTTTGGTAAGTTTCAGATTTCAATTCATTAAATAACATCGATGGAGGGGGGGCCCATAAAATGCAGCCTGCCTAGTCTAGTCCATTTATTTAATTCGGCTCTGGCCACAGCAATAACAACACAAGCACACACACAACAAATGAGTTTTACCCGTCACAATGAATCCATTTTGGTCTAAAACCAATGCTGCTTGAGGACTGATGACTTTCTGAATGGCTTCCTTTGCTCTTGTGTTCTTCCTGACATTGTAGTGGTGCGGGATGTTTCTTTGCAGAAATACATGTGAAGATGGGGTGAGCATGTTTAGAAAATAGTTGTTTTTTCTCACTCCTGCAAAGAGCTGCTCTGCACACTGGCTATTCAATTTTCCTGCAAGTTCAGGAACAATTTCAATCCTTCTTAAGATATCACGGTGGTCTATGCTGTTGCCTTGGTGGCAGACGTCACTCAAACAGTAGCGCTCGGCGGAGCCAGTTACAGGATGGCCTCCCTCGTCTTCGGGGTCTTTCTTGTGCTTTAACCAGGGTAAGCTCACTTCCAGTTTTCTCTCTGCAGCTTGTCTGATGTTTTCTGCTGTGTGATCAAGCAATCTGCCTTCAGGGATGGCAAAGGGTTTATCAGCAGGGCAACGCTTGTTGATGTGGCTTACTACAGGGGCGTGTCCAGGGAGTGGCCTGGGGTGGCACATGCCACCCTTGGAATCTGATTGGCCACCCCAGGTGCCACCACACTAATTTACCTTTAAATAGGCTTTTCATTGTCCACAAAAGGATTGGGGGTAAAACAAAAAAAGCATAACCAGTGGTGCCACCCATGCACAAAGTTATGTCTCACCTGGGCCACCCCATTTTAAAAGATCTGGACACGCCACTGGCTTACTAGTCCTCTGGCATAGTCATGCACTGCAGGGCTGTGCAGAGACCTTTGAAGGGGCGGGTGCTCAAATTTAAAAAGGGGCACACAGAATAATATTTTCAAACACCATGACATAACCACAGTATACCCGACTGAATAACAAATCATATTTATTAGAAATTCAAAATGGAAGCGAATCATTATATGCACCATAAGGACAATGTAAAGCAAAAATAACTTGTTTTGGTAAATGGTCTGTATTTGTATAATGCCTTCTTAGGGTTCTACAACCCCGCAAGGCACATTACAACACAATCAATCATTCACACACACACATTAACACACTGATGGTGATGAGCTATGATGTAGCCATAGCTGCTCTGGAGCGCACTGACAGAGGTGAAGCTGCTGAGCACAGGCACCACCGGTCCCTCCGACCACCACCAGCAGGCAAAGCAGGTTAAGTGTCTTGCCCAAGGACACAACAGCATCAATCTCTGATTGAAGTCAGGCTCAAACCTGCAACCTTCCGATTACTGGACAAGCTGCTCCACCTCCTGATCTATTGCTGTCCTATTTTACCTGATGATGGGGTACAATGTAGCTGTTGCAGGGTTGCTCCTCTTGCTGCTGCTGATGATGCTGGAGGGCAAGGCTGTGTTGATCTCAGACTGTAGGCAGTAAAACGAACAGAGGAGAAATGTTAGTCAATTACAAAATTAATGTAAGATCATAAAAAAATGGCAAAAATTGGTGAAAACTCTTAGAACTGTAAGACAGAAATATCTGAGGCAAAACCTGAGGTGAATAAATGGAAATCTAAACATTAGTGGATAATAGAGGAGTTTATGTCAGAGATAAGAATGTGACAGAAGTATAAACAGAAAGAGTTGTGTGTGTGTGTGTGTGTGTGTGTGTGTGTCTTCAATCTCTTCATGTGATCTATAACTCTCCACTTGCTGTCCATCTGAGAACAAGGCAACATTAGCTATTGTATGAATGAATTATGTAGTTATTCACATTTAACAGGTCGTGCACCTAATCCATGATCCATGATGAGTTGTGTATATTATTGTTTCTACACTAGTTGCTGTGATGCAACTTACCTGTACTCTTTTTTTATCCAGCTGGTGAGGGACCCACTGCCTTTAGCTGCCTCATGTAGCTCTTTCTGTCGCTGCTTCCGCCTCCTGTCCTTACGAGGCATGTCTGTACAATGATATATCATAATTAATTTACAAATATTTTTTCATGCATATAAAACTCATGCATACACATACTGGGACATTCATTCCTTATCCAGAAAACTAACTGTATATAATTTGGCCACAAATTTGCTTCATGATGCTGATCCAGAATATTTCCATACTATTTTAATCATAGTGCTTTAGTAATTATAATAAAAATAAAGAATAAAACAATGTTTATGCTTTCATTCAGTTTTACTATCTACTTCGTGCAAAACAGAGAACTGTACAGATAAAATAATTTTGCTGTGAAAACAATAGTTTTTTTTAAATGTACATCTTTAAAATATGTTTTTAATACAATGCATTCAAAAAGAGAGCAAATATAAACTCCAACATTTTGAGAATGTGTATAGTATTAGTGAACTATAAAACCCACCAGAAGGGCTGAGAATCCTTAAAATCTAAAACAAAACTATGTTCCCTAAAACACTGGACAGAGTTTACAGACAAGGACTGAATATTTAGTAACACAAAACTTGTGACGGATGTTACCTTTAGTATTTTTCTTATTTCCTTTCACAAAAGGTGGCAAAATTTTAAATTTGTTCAAGTTTTATTAGTCCGCGAACAAGGAAGTGATTTTGTAAACAAGAAGCAGGGCTGTCACGTGACACGCAGCAGCAATAGGAATGCAACTTTGCGGTACCTAGTTAACAACGACATTCCCAATATTTAAGATTGAAAAAATATTTTTGTACAAGTACTAATGTACAGAATGTTTTTGGTTAATCCTAAAGCTACTGAGGTTCAGAATCGGTACCCAGCCACATACACACACCCAGCTAGTAATATACTGTATCACACACACCTAGTGCCACAAAACAACTTAATAATGTACAAAATAATCTAATAACTTTGTATAGTAGTGTGCATCCTACTCACCGGTGTTAGTCCGTTTCTCCCAATCAATATGTATGTCCTAAAAGCTCTGCACCGCTCCCTCGGCCATGAAGGAAACGTGGGCGCTGACCGGCTGTGCGCTCTGGCGTCAGGAAGGGAAGGTGGTCACGTGACTCACGCCAGCTATATAACTTTATTAAACAGAAATTTTATTAATTATTATTTTTGTTATTGTTGAGGGGGCACAAACAGAAAATTCTTTAAAAAATAAAATAAAAATAAAAATAAATAAATGTATAAAAAAATCATTAAACCTCAAAAAGGGCACTTTGGGCACTTTCTCAAGCACACCCCCCCCCCCTCCCCCCGCACGTGCCTGGTTATTACTGTAAACTAAAGCTTTTAATAAAAAATGCATTTTAATTATTCAAAAGTCACTGTGTGATATGAAAGACCCAAATCAACTAAAATTTATAATTACAAATAGAAAAGACCTGCAAAGGGTTCCTGAGCCTTTAAATAGTCTCTCTGTCTAGTTGAATGACTGAAATAAATTTGACTTTGCACCAGATTCTAATTTTTCCAGTTTCACTTGTTTGTATAATTGTGAGTTTTTATTAGCATTTCTACTCATAATGTAGTAAAAACACATAAATAATAATCCTTCAAAATGACAGTAGAACAGGCACAAATATGATCTAGGACTTAAATGTACTAACTTTTAACACCAGAGCAGGCGTGGCATATTCTGAGAATGATCAGGAACACTAACTGGTTCCAGTTGGATGACTGGAGGATGATGGGATGATAAAAGATCATGGCGAGGAAATAATGATCTGAAGAACAGGTGAGCGGACCTTCCTTACATGGGAAGTCCGGATGTCAGGTTAAGAAGGGGATGCTGCAGACCCGCAGATTCACGCCTGCAGCAGCGAATCTGCTGTGATCTCCAGCCTGAACACAACTTCCTCGTTCCTCGCTGCCCCTGATGCACTTAAGCATCCGCCCCTTAGCTGATGACAGCTTCAACACACCTGCTGCTTAATGATAGTAATGCATGTGATGTTTAGACAGAGACTCGTCTCAGAAACATATAACTCCCCGACAGAATTGTTTAGAAAATCATCAGAAAAGTTTCAGAGTGTTTCTGTTTTAACTTAAACTTCTGTTTTCAACTTTAAGACACGTTGTTTGTGATTGTTTACAGAGTAGTGAGAACACGGAGCGTTCTCCCAGCGGCAGCCAGGTGCCTCTCGTTTGTCTGACTACTTTCATGAACTACTGTTAGGGCACAGAATTATTCTGCCTGGTGCTTTCAGCGCTGCACATATGTTACGTAAATGTTAAAAACATAGCTTACTGCAACTTTTGTAAAGTTTCCGGTGCCACCGGGCAGCCGCAGCAGTATCGATCTCTGAAAAATGTCCGCGACACGGACTCCGTTGTTGTCTGGAAGTTTTTTTTTTCCAAGTTAAGAAAAGATTCGGACGTGTTTCCTAAATCCTGCATCAGTCCAAGCAAGAAAACTTCTTTCTGTTTTTATTACGTTTTAGTAGCCATTAGCATTGTGCATTGTTGTGTGCGTCAGTGATATTCGGTCTACGAGGAAGTCGTGCAATGACAAAGGTTCCGCCGTGCTTGAAATGCAAGCTGCGATTAAAGGCGTTAATTTTTTTAACGCATTATTTTTTTCTAATTAATTAATTGTAATTAACACGTTAAAGTCCCGGCCCTAATATATATATATATATAATGTCACATCCTGGAGGTTCAGAGGGAATCAATTGTTGATAATGTTTCATCCTTGTTTGTCTCCTTTTATCAAGGCAAAACTGAGGGGCATGACCGTCTAAAGAGAAAGTTACCTGAGGAGGACCTACGTGCAAAGAAGAAATTGATTGACCTTCTGGAAAAATCTGAAAAACAAGCATCTGACAATTTTGTTAAGAGTTATAAATGCATTAGAAATGCTCACCACATCTATTGTTGAAGGTTTTTCTCTTCTTAGACAAGGTGTGCAGCCTCCTCCTGCACAATCTTCACAGTACATGCCATATGAAGCAAGAGGGCACATGTATGCACATACACGATCCCTACACCCACTCCAAGCTAATCAAGCATTCCATTAATTTTCCATTCATTCATCCATTCCTCCATCCCTCCCTCTCCTGACAACATTGTCCCTTTTATGGACCCAGGTACTGGGTGAGGACTCTTCTGACCCTCATCCCTTCAATGGTGCTGTTACGCGCTCGCCCTTCTGAGGAACAACACATTACAGACCTCAAACAGTTACAACAGCATATTGCACTTTTCCTTAACACAGAAATGTCAAAAAGCCCATTCCCTGGGGCAATCAGGTTTTAAAAGAGTGTTTCTTCTTCAATACGTTCACATTTTACTTCCCAAATTGCAATAGAGAATATCCCACTCATGTATCTGTGACTTACTTGCAATTCTGGGATCTAACTAATGATTGTCATTAAGATTTCATTCCGGAGCAAGGCTCTGCAACCTGCGGCTATGATGGCACGTCGCAAGTCTTTGCCGCTTCCCTACCAGCTAAAAGAAATGTGGGCCTTTTACTGGAATGGCATCAAAATGCACCAATAGGTCTTTTCCACAAAGACCCAAATAGGTTGTTGGAGAAACACATTGCAATTTATTGCTGCCAAACATATGAAAAGCTGAACTCACACACTAAGGAAAATCGAGCTGCCGGCCGGCCGGCACCTGATTGCAAGGATTTCACACACGGAGGCCGGCCAGACACCCCCCGAACAGGGGGGCGTGGGTCCCACCTTCCATGGGCCCACCACTCATAGGAGGGACAAAGGAAAAACGAGGTGCTTCTCTCAATTGAGGTGAAGGTGGCCTTTTTGTACATCCAAATGTTAAATAATATCGTTTGTACATTCTGATGTCTGCGATCTGAACAAATTTGGATTAAAGCGCATGAACCAACTCTACTGTGTCACTACACAAGCTCCCCTCTCCGCTTTCACCCACGGAGCCCGGCCAGACACAGCTCAAACTGGGGATGAGGGCGTTTTACTGGAAAGGCCTCAAATTGCAGCATTCCATTCAATGGCAACAACAGGCACAACTGTCTCTACACCCGTAAAATGGAGGACAGAAGGAAAAGCCTTCGCTTACGGCCATACCACCCTGAACACGCCCGATCTCGTCTGATCTCGGAAGCTAAGCAAGGTCGGGCCTGGTTAGTACTTGGATGGGAGACCGCCTGGGAATACCAGGTGCTGTAAGCTTTTGTCCTTGTCTTTTGAGCCAGCAGAGGGTGCTGTTACGCGCTCGCCCTTCTGAGGAACAACACATTACAGACCTCAAACAGTTACAACAGCATATTGCACTTTTCCTTAACACAGAAATGTCAAAAAGCCCATTCCCTGGGGCAATCAGGTTTTAAAAGAGTGTTTCTTCTTCAATATGTTCACATTTTACTTCCCAAGTTGCAATAGAGAAAATCCAACTCATGTATCTGTGACTTACTTGCAATTCTGGGATCTAACTAATGATTGTCATTAAGATTTCGTTCTGGAGCAAGGCTCTGCAGCCTGCGGCTATGATGGCACATCGCAAGTCTTGGCCGCTTCCCTACCAGCTAAAAAAAATGTGGGCCTTTTACTGGAATGGCATCAAAATGCACCATTAGGTCTTTTCCACAAAGACCCAAATAGGTTGTTGGAGAAACACATTGCAATTTATTGCTGCCAAACACATGAAAAGCTGAACTTACACCCTAAGGAAAATCGAGCTGCCGGCCGGCCGGCACCTGATTGCAAGGATTTCACACACGGAGGCCGGCCAGACACCCCCCGAACAGGGGGGCGTGGGTCCCACCTTCCATGGGCCCACCAGTCATAGGAGGGACAAAGGAAAAACGAGGTGCTTCTCTCAATTGAGGTGAAGGTGGCCTTTTTGTACATCCAAATGTTAAATAATATCGTTTGTACATTCTGATGTCTGCGATCTGAACAAATTTGGATTAAAGAGCATGAACCAACTCTACTGTGTCACTACACAAGCTCCCCTCTCCGCTTTCACCCACGGAGCCCGGCCAGACACAGCTCAAACTGGGGATGAGGGCGTTTTACTGGAAAGGCCTCAAATTGCAGCATTCCATTCAATGGCAACAAAAGGCACAACTGTCTCTACACTCGTAAAATGGAGGACGGAAGGAAAAGCCTTCGCTTACGGCCATACCACCCTGAACACGCCCGATCTCGTCTGATCTCGGAAGCTAAGCAGGGTCGGGCCTGGTTAGTACTTGGATGGGAGACCGCCTGGGAATACCAGGTGCTGTAAGCTTTTGTCCTTGTCTTTTGAGCCAGCAGAGGGTGCTGTTACGCACTCGTTTTTCTGAGGAACAACACATTACAGACCTCAAACTGTTACAACAGCATATTGCACTTTTCCTTAACACAGAAATGTCAAAAAGCCCATTCCCTGGGGAAATCAGGTTTTAAAAGAGCGTTTCTTCTTCAATACGTTAATATTTTACTTCCCAAGTTATAATAGAGAAAATCCAACTCATGTATCTGTGACTTACTTGCAATTCTGGGATCTAACTAATGATTGTCATTAAGATTTCATTCCGGAGCAAGGCTCTGCAACCTGTGGCTATGATGGCACGTCGCAAGTCTTTGCCGCTTCCCTACCAGCTAAAAGAAATGTGGGCCTTTTACTGGAATGGCATCAAAATGCACCAATAGGTCTTTTCCACAAAGACCCAAATAGGTTGTTGGAGAAACACATTGTAATTTATTGCTGCCAAACACATGAAAAGCTGAACTCACACACTAAGGAAAATTGAGGTGCCGGCCGGCTGGCACCAGTTTGCCAGGATTTCACACACGGAGGCCGGCCAGCCACCGCCCGAACAGGGGGGCGTGGGTCCCACCTTCCATGGGCCCACCACTCATAGGAGGGACAAAGGAAAAACGAGGTGCTTCTCTCAATTGAGGTGAAGGTGGCCTTTTTGTACATCCAAATGTTAAATAATATTGTTTGTACATTCTGATGTCTGCGATCTGAACAAATTTGGATTAAAGCGCATGAACCAACTCTACAGTGTCACTACACAAGCTCCCCTCTCCGCTTTCACCCACGGAGCCCGGCCAGATACAGCTCAAACTGGGGATGAGGGCGTTTTACTGGAAAGGCCTCAAATTGCAGCATTCCATTCAATGGCAACAAAAGGCACAACTGTCTCTACACCCGTAAAATGGAGGACGGAAGGAAAAGCCTTCGCTTACGGCCATACCACCCTGAACACGCCCGATCTCGTCTGATCTCGGAAGCTAAGCA